GAAATCTTGGATCTAGCTGCCACACTCAAAGCCAGAATTGAGAGATTCAAAAGAAAAATTCTCAGGGATCAGACTATTAAAACATAGAGGAGAAGAAACAATAACGAACTGCTAAAAGAAACTGGTCAGTCAATATCTCATGATACGAAGGCAAGGAGGTTAAGATAGGCAGGGCATGTAGCTTGAAGCAATCCATCGGGACTTTTACACAACAATGAATGTCAGAGTAGTAGGCAAGAAACCACGTGGGAGGCCAAAAACCAGATGGATGGATATGATAAAGAAAGATACAGCTGATCATCATGCCGCGAACTGGAACGCAGTAGCCCAAGACAGGCAGAGGTGGAGAGTGCTGGTTCAAGCGGATCTACAAGATCTGTAGAGCCAACAAAAAAAAAAAAATAAAGTTACTGTCTAGCTTCAATCAATTAAGAAAAAAAATTAACTAATAATTTATATACATATTTACACAAACATCTATTTACAATTTTATGGGGACTAAATGGATGCCAGGAAAGTGGGAAGAATGAAGCCACTTCAATTCTTCATAAAAACAGGAGACGAAGACATCCCTTGGGATCACAAAGCAATTAATCAAAGGTCTTAGTTTTTCTTTGAGATCCACCGAGACGCCTCCATATATTACAGTACAGCAATAGTCAAAGTGGAGAAACCAAGACACCTCTGGACTCTTAGCTGGCTTGGGCATGTATATATTATTGGGTTTGGATATATGAGTAATATAAGCTGGATGAATATTTGAATAAACCTGATCTATCTGTTGTATGCTCTTTAAGCAACACAAAACAAAGGTTCTCTGTCAGCGTTTCAAAGTAGTGATTACTTAAAAATGAAACGAATAATTTATTGATTTTTAATGATAAAAGTAAACATAAAGATCTTTCTTTATTATTCCTATAATTTGTGTTAGGTTGATTGCACATATTTTAATTTACATACAGAGTTAATAATTTTTTATAGAAAAAATATACAAGTGAAAGAAATGTTAATTTCTGTAAATAGCACAGTGTTGTAACAACATAATTTAGCACCACAATAAACGATATTATCATTTTCACACCTTTAAAATCTTAATAATGATATAATTCAAGTATGAAAATTTGCAAGTGCATTAACATTTACAAAAGATTACTTACATAATTTTCTTATTACATTGGATTAGGCTGCTATTGGGGAAATATACATTTTGATTATGCTTTACATTTCTAATGAAAAGGAGTTTTAAAACAAGGTGCCTGTGAAAAGAATAGCAGTAACTATTGAATAAAATGTACCAATAATTAAACCATGATCTGAAATAATTTTTTAAAAGTCAAATTGAATTGTATACATTAAATTTTTTAAAATTATTAAAGAAAAAAGAAAAAAAATACAAACATTTTATTGAATACAGTAATGACACTATACTATAGCAAGAGTTTCCAAACTGGGAGTTATAACTTGACATAATCTTCAAAATGATAACTTCAGTAAATAAAAATTAATTTTATTGCTTATACATTTTTAAAAAATTGTTAATTCTTGATCCAACAAAGTTTCTCTAACTTCCTTAGGAAGAACATTAACAAATATAAATTCTTATCTGAATAGAAAATATGTTATTCATTTGCTATGTTGATCAAAAATATTTTATACTCCAAATTTTCATAAATAAATTTTTAATGTGAGTTGAAGAAAAAAAAGAGGTTTATTTCCCAATAATAAGAAAATAAATTGCAATGAAATAAGTATGTCTTATAGTAATTGTAGAGATGTTAATAAATCAAGAAGGTTGTGGGAAAGAAATAAAACACATTGAATGCTAAGTTATTTTTAATAGCAACATTTTGGTCTAAGCCGGAGGTCTCTTTTTCTTTTTGGCCCGAGGACCATATTGAGATCTCCACTAAGTCCTGCGGGTCGGGTTGAGACCACTAAGTTCCGCGGGCTTGTGATGAAAAAAAAAATCTTGTTCTATAAATGACACTTCAGTTGTGAAATGAGCTTTCTAATAGAAATAACTCATGTTATAAATATAGTAACATTGTGTTTGCAAGACTTACTAAATTTCACTTTTTTAAAAATAGTTTTGGTCTAAGCCAGCGTTTCTCAAACTTTTCTTATCCAGTATCCTTCTTGTGCTATGAAATTTTCGAATCACTTTAATTGGACAACACAAAACCCCAGCACAGTTAACCTTAAATAGGTAATACCTATAGTAAAATCTTAATCCATTTTTAGTGAAAGTTTGCTCAGACATTATTTTAAATTTGATTAGGTTTAATTTTAACTCTGTTGCTAATAAATATAAAGTTATGGATTTATAGTCACCAAAATCACAATTTTGACCTTAAATATTATTTCTATGTCACCCCCCACTGTTGGTATACACTGGCGACACCCTAAAGTAGTGCGTTATCCAGTTTGAGAATCCTTGGCCTAAGCTTTAGGCAACAATATACAACTATGAATAAAATAAATAAAGAATTAATTTAAATATAGCAGATATTGCATTTTTATACATATTCACAACCTATACAGTAGCTGGGATAGCCATGCGGGCTAAGGCGCTTGCAATAGGTAACAAGTTAAGCAACGCTGAGCATTGTTAGCACTTGGATGGATGACTGCCCACCAGGGAAAGCCAAGCTGCCAGAGATCCCTCCCCTTCCCCCGGGTATGTGAGATCCGTCAGCCTACTGGAGGCAACTGACACCGAAAGGGCATAGGCCTGATGAATCTACCCCCGTGTACTTAAATCGGGAATCGGGATGTGGTCTAGGAGACTGCATCTCGCGGACAAAGATCTTGGCCGGTAGCGCCAACGGTAAAAAAAACGCGAACGCATACGCGTTAAGACCACTTGAACAAGTAAGCAAAGATGTTGCCAGGTAACCAAATGATAAACCAAAGTTTTCAAAATATAAAATAATTACGAGTTCGTCGTCCCAATGCTGGGTGGAGAGGGCTTTTAAAAAGTATGAATGAATTAGCTTTTCTTCTAGACGCTCATATGATGAAAAAATTGAATAATTCAAAATTGACCATTAACTGCTTAAAGTTTGAAAACTCTTGCATTATAGTGCAACATCATATTCTGTAATTTTTAACAGTATTGTAATAAAAAAAATTAATGTGTATAACCTGAAAATAATAAGTGAGTACAAATTAATAATCAAAAGTCACAACTGAAAAATGTATGAGCAGTAACAATTAAAAAAATTATATTTCTAAACAAACATCATTTAATGCTGACTTAATAACATATGTAATGACACCTATCCAATAAATCTAATGGAAATATCAATTTTTAAATTCACTTTTCAACTAAATTATGCAAAAAAAAGAACGAAAGAAATATATAAAATTATAATACTGGTAAGTATGTGTCATTGTATCTCTAAAGCAAATTACAAACAATTAAAAAATAAATAGTTGGGATGAATAATTCCAAAAGCACATACAAAATTCTTGGATGAAAATTTTAAAACACAAAGTGCAAGCGTCGACTTATTACTATATACAATACTATACATTCCAATTTACACTGAGGCAAAAAACTGGCCACTTTACTTGATGTTAGGTAAATACTTCATCAATAAAAAATGAAGAAACATTCTATCCTTATTAACTGTTAATAAAAATAATATTTTAGATGTACTAAGTAGTTAAATTATTTTTCTAATATATTTCATATGATCTCTATGATAGGAAATGAGAGGAGATATTAATTAGTAAATAATAAAAGTTGATCATTTTTACTTCCTGACTGCTGGGAGGAAGGGAGTGAAGTATTGTAATTAGGTCAAATTTTCAAGGTACAGTTTGCAATAGTTCTTGATGTTTTATAACCTCCCAAAATACAATAAAAGTATTTTTATCTCATTTTTGAAAGATTAATTCTCTACAAAATCAAAAAAAGTTGACCAAATCAAACCAGTATTGAATTTTATACTAATGATTTTAAATGTACATATTTTTTGTTTTCTACAGATTCCTATGGCCATGTCTATAAAATAAAACTGTGTGATAAAAACCCAATAGAACTAATATTAGAAAAGATAAAGAAAGTATTTTTTGTATTGGGCTTAGCACCCGCAAGGAAAGGTAAGGAAAGGTGTGAGTGGACAAATCTGGTATATTTTTTGTCTCAGTGTACATTTCACACTAGAAAAGAGAGGAAGATTTACATAATTAATTACTGGTGTAAATTCATATCTTCACTATTTCGTACAAAATTACCTAGTACAATATACATATGAGAGCTGGTTGTATCATAATAAATGATATTAAAAAAACTTTTAAAAAACTGCAGTAGGTACGAAAAAAAAAATGTGAATCTAAGAATCTAAAACACAGAGGAGAAGGATGTTTATCTTATTTCATTAAATCATTGAAGATCCATTGAGGTATACGCTACAATGATTTACCAATCTGTTGTTATAATAATAAATCATTAATAAAAAAAACATGAATAAAATAGTTGTATTAATGATTTATTTAATTAAAAAGGAAGGAGATGGTCCGGTATGGTATAAAAAGGCTAAATAGTGGTAAAACTATTTTATTGAAAGCCAACGTTTCGACCTGACTTTGCAGGTCTTCATCAGGGAGGTGTGTTCCTCTAGGAGTTTCACTTAGAACTGGTTAGAACCCCGGACCATCTCCTTCCTTTATAATGCAACGGTCAACTATTAAATATTCGATTTATTTAATTATTTTAGCCTCATTTGAAAACTTTTAAAACTGAGCTATTTAACTAGTAAAGATTAAATTCTTATTCTGAGTAGATATATAATAAGAATTTTATTCTGAGTATATTATATATATATATATAATAATTAAATTCTTATTCTGAGTAGATATATAATAAGAATTTTATTCTGAGTATATATATATATATATATATATATATAATATTCATATATATTATATATATATATATATAATAATTAAATTCTTATTCTGAGTAGATATATAATAAGAATTTTATTCTGAGTATATATATATATATATATATATATATATATATATATACAGCATATCTATCAACAGGACAAACATCACAATAAAAAGCCTGATAATGATTTCATGGAGTAGAACTGGAAGGTATTTAGTTTTAAATAACATCGTACAATAGGTTTTCTTGTACCTCTAGAACAATTCCTCCTACGCCTAGGCTGGATTCGAATTAGTGCTGCTAGACATAAGATTTAAAGATAATACCTTAACACTTGACCATCTCATCATCACAATCAAAGCCTGGTTCAATACCAAGATTTTGTTGGAAAAAGGAATTTTCTGCATCTAAAAAATGAGAAAAACTAAAGTAAAATGAAAGTCATGAACGAAAGGTCTGCTCAACATTGGCATCAAATAATGTTGGAGAAGATGGAAGACTATCAGTTGTCAATAAAGAGAATCTTCCTGAAAAAACAAAGTAAATCTGCAATTATCAACAGAACTGGCAGTGTCTCAGTCAACTATTAATCAGAGAGCAAAAGAAAGGGAGGGAAAAAACTCAAAAAGGTCCCTACCTTAACCTTTGATAGGTCCCAAATCGCAGCTCTTTCAAAATCTGATGGATTGGCAGATTTAAGTCGTTGTCAATAGGAACACAAGGGCCTAGGTTAGTGTTTAGATCTTGGTGGAGGACGAAGAAGAGGGCGTCCCAGATTGCAGTGGCTAGTAGAGGTGGAGGAAGACCTGAGGACACTTCGAGTCCGAAGGGGGAGAAGAGCAACTTTTTACAGGGACGAATGATGGAAAATTATGGAGGAAGCCACGGTTCTACGAGGACCATAGTGCCATCGAAAAAGTGTTTAGATTTAAAATGGGTACAATTCCCACCAGTAGAAATCAGGTTAGACAAAAAGATAACACTAAACAAACCTAAAAAACTCAAACAGGTCTTTATATCAACCTATAATTGGTCCCAAATTTATGCGGGTATAAAGTATGTGGGCGAGTGTTATTCTATTGGAATAGAACACGTTTACCCTAAACCAAAGCTGGGTAACACTTTGATAATTTTGCATACATCCTATCTAACTGTCCCTGAGCCACTCTTCCTTTCCAAGGATATACCTCTATTCCTGGATTTTTCAAACCAACTTTGTGGTCTTCAATGGTGAAACCTTCACCTTCAGTTTGAATAATTTGAGTGGCTATAATTTTCTTTTTTCCTATAGTTTCTTAATATTACAAATATTTTAAAAGAAACCATTATCTTTCTTGCTTGACTGCAACTGGTAAACTAAGGCTTTATCGCACGAGCCAAATGTTTAAAAAGGAGCTTATATAATTCTCAGCACAAGAGTATAATTTATTGGTAAACATTGTATAGGTATTCTTGCCAAAATTTTTATTAAACATTCATTTTTATTAATACTCCCCATTATGTTTATAGCTTCCATCCTAAAATAACAACGTTTTCCCCCTCCTATCCCATTAAAGGGTCAGTTACCTACTTTATAGAGGAGTGGCATGCCTAAATGCCCAAGAAGGGGTTTCCAAATCCACAGTTGACCAAGGCTGATATGACATACAATAAAATGTCAACCACTTCTAGACTCATTTAAACTTGAGTCCAGGAGTTAGCAGCCCATTGCCTAACCCACTAATCTATTCTACTAACAGAAAAAAAAAAAATAATAAATATTGAGATTCAGAAAATAATGTAGGTGTTAATAAATAAAAAATAAAAACCCTGTACCATTACAACCCATGAAGGATCTTGGGTTCAGTACTTAGTAAGGAAGTACATTTTCTTGGTTAACGGTTGTACAGGAAGGTGATTTGACCGAGTCATGCTCAACCTCTGTGTTTCCCCTTTAATAAATTATTTAATTAAGGGTACCCACTTTATAGAGGCTGGGTATGCACCAGGACAGTCTGTTGAGCATTAGAAGTCAGTAACCTACCACTGAGATATTCCACTACCAATAAATCAAAAACTTTAGCATAATATTCAGTTTCAACACCAAAACATCCATTTTTTAATATAACTTTATTTTATTCAGATAAACTCGCAGTTCAATATTTCTAAAAATAATTATTAACAATCTATTAGAATATATATTGATAACCTCCTTTTCCTCCATGTTTTAAACTCTGTTCAATGAAAGTTCTTTGGACATACATGTTGGAAAAAATAAAATAAAGTAAAACAGTAACACTTAGTCAACATATTTATTATATAATTGGTATTTGATCATATGAGATATATTGCGAGATGGAGAGAAGTTAGATATAGCGATAAATCTGGATATATCAATCCCTTTCTGAATGGAATAATAAAACATGTTTTTGCCATATTCATGAGATATTTCCAGGAATATAAATGTTCTTTACTTTTTTATAAGATCATTATTCTCATTTAAATACAAATACACTTATAGGATAAAATAAAGAAAATTAAATTTTCAAAAATAATAACAATAGATAAATCATTTAAATTTTCCATGTACAATTTTCTAAATATAAAAATGTCTAGACTAATTAGGACACAGAAATAAAAATAAACTATTAAGCGTTAAAATTACACTTTCTAAGAATTAAAATATAAAACTAGTTTTCATCGAAAATGAATTAATAATGAGATCACTCAAACACGATAGTTTAAACCCCTTTACGGTGAACACAAGTGTCCCTACATTTATAACTGCGTGTATTGACAAAAATAAATTAGAAATTAAATAATTTTTTGAAAACCTGTAAATCACCACAAAACCATTTTAAGTTACTAGCTTCAATTTAAGAGACATCCTTATGAACCTATCAGGTGACAGTTAGTTATTAGGCTGAAAGAAGACTTGACACTACCACTTATCACTTATTGGTCGAGAGAGTGCTGTGGGATTTCCATGTGACCGATGAGTGGTATCGGAGGATTAGGTTGGCGCTGTCTGTTCAGCTCACTTCGCTCTGAAGGTTCCATATGTTGCCGCTCATGTAGGACTAGGTGATTCTTCTGTGAAAATGCTTTGCCACATTTTTCACATCGGAAAGGTTTTAATTTGCAAGCACCATTAGGATACCTAAACAGACAGGCGAAAATAAAATATTTTTGCTATTCTGATGATTTCTTATATTAGATTTCAGCTCCTTGAAATAAATATAAATTTTATACAAGAACATGCTGACTTTTGATAACACACAAGGTTCACAATGTTATGTGCGTTCTAGGTATTGGTGCTGTTCAAGTTTTTAAATTTAAAAATTAATGAAAATAAATAAGAAGTTATCTATCTTAGTTATTTTAATATTACTAGCAAGATATTTACTAAAACTACTAGACCGACTGGTTGTATTAGTTGTCACTGCATGCTGGTGTAAACTCGAATTGTTTTAGTTTCATGCTATCAATGTGTTGTGTTTTTTTTATAGTTATGATATACTTTGTATATACTTTAGCAAAGTTTCCTCTTAAGAGACTAAATTGATTAATTTTTATTGTGGATATTGTTGTTTATGCAACCTATTACTTATTGGCTCTATATTGATTAATTTTAATTTGACTTACATAATAAATAAATATATAAATATATTAAAAAAAAAGCCTGTACCACTAACAACCTATGAAGGGTTATGGATTCAGTACAATGTGAGGAAGTACTGTTACAAAGCCAACGGTTGTGCAGGGAGGTGACGTGCTAATATCATGCTCAACCGCCAGGTTTTCCCCTTTCATTAGTTATTTAATTAAGAGTACCCATTTTATAGAGGCAGGATTTGCCCAGGAGGATCGCCCGGCTCCATGGTCCACCCACAGCTGAATTACTATTGATGAATTTACTAAAAATTACTAGTCATCATCCGGATCCGAACCTTGGATCTTGAGCTCTGGAAGTCAGTGCTCACCCACTGAGTTACCCCGCTCCCTTATATTTATTCATATTTACATTAAAAAAATACATATATTATTGTAAATATATATATTACAAAATGTATATTAGAATAAAGAACATTATAAGTCTTTTATTTATTTATTTTTTAATATTGTTAATTTGTCAGCCTCATGGTCATTAGGCTTTAGATAAAATATAAGATGAAAAAATCAATAACTCTGTGAGACTTAAAAATCTTTAAAGAAATTAAATATATAAATACCTGAGAATATGCTGATTGAGACCATGCTTTTGAGTGAAAGCTCGGCCACATTCAGCACAAGCATGAGTTTTTTGCTTGAGGAGACCTTGACCAGCAGCTTGTTTAAGCGAAGCGGCGAGGCTACAGATGTCAGAAAGGAAGCTATGGTCCCCAACGTGCAACCTCATGTGGAGGGCCAATCCTTCTGCGCTAGCGAAAGACTCTCCACATTCCCTAATGAAAGATTTTGTTTTTTATAAGGTGAAAAAAAATGTTTTCTGCATAATATTAACAAACTAGGATTGGGTTTAATATAATACAAACCCTTTATTTACAAATCAAAATATGTTTCTGGGCTTCCATACCTTGCTACCAATAAACAAACTGTTTTTACTATCTGAAAGTAAATAATAACTGAAAGGCATTTTGTATCATGCATATTATAAAAAAGTAAGCTTTATTCAACTTCGTAAAATGAGAATTTCAATTTTTAACGTCAGCGATTTGAGTGTCATTAACAAAATGATAGAATCGAGTTTAGTAATTCATGCAATTTTGAACCATTATAATCTTATGTCTTATTATTTTTTTTTTAAGCACAACTTCTCGATTGTTTATTGTAATTTTAAGTCCAAAACGTTAAAATATTACAAATGAAAACAATCGAGGAGAAGTTTGTGCTTAAAAAGAAAATGTACATATAAGCATCAAAATTAGGGATCATTTAAGTCCTCAAGTCGAGAGAAGAGTTTGAATTTTGAAAGGAAAACCAAATAGGAATGTAACTGTATTTTCTATTTATAATACAAAATAAGTATTAGTATTTTCTTTCCAAGATACTAAAATACAAAAAAAAAAATTATGTATGGCGAGGGTTGAGTGGGCTAGCAGGCTAACTGAAGTGAATGTGATATAATAACTAGGAGTTAACATCCTGGTGCCAAGGGGAGCTTTTAACTCTGGCATCATTCCCTCGCCCTCTCTCCTAGCCTGGGAATATAGCTTAAAAGGTGAGGAAGGGAAGGGCAAACTTGTTTTGTTTATTTTATATTTTAAACAAAGTATAACACTGAATTTAGTTTGTTTCCTTGAGGTATTGTAGCAAGACTGATTTTGGCACAAAAATTCTCACTTGTCAAACTCTAGCTTAGACATTTTTAAGATTGATTATGTTAAAACTTTTATTTGAACAAAATAATTTATTCCCAGTTAATTTTTTCTACTATATAAACTGTTTCTAATTTCATAACTGCTTTTCTCACAAAAATAAACACATTTCTCACAAAAGCATTACATGATAGGTCAGTATTTTGTTTTTTTGTAATTAAAATACACTGCATTTTAAGAACACAAAATATTTAATAAATAAATAAATCATAATTAAAACACTTTTTGTACCAGTCTGGAGTAAAGAATCAATTATAATAAGATCATAGTGTGTTCTAAAATGTTCAATTGAACCAAAGAAATATTTTTATTATGGCTGACCATACTTACTTGCACAGCTTTGAATGATTCATAACTGGCTGATGGTCCGGCGGCTGGGAACCATGGTGGTGATTGTTCAGACCACATGTCCTAACATGAAGAAGAAGGGTACGCTTCTGTAAAAATTCCTTTCCACAGCTGGGACACGTATCTGGCACTCGTCCATGCTCTCTTTCATGCTCCACCAACTGAAATTTTCGGAGAAAACCTGCCCCGCAGTCCGGACATATATAGGGCTGTAGACCTCCATGAAATCGTGAATGCATTACAAGATGTTCTTCCCTTGAAAATGATTCTCCACAGATCTGTTGATCAATAATAGACTGTGAATGATAGCATAATATCCAATAACTTCTTAAATCATTATAATTTTTTTCTCTATAAAAATAAGAAAGGAACACTAGCGCATACAAGGAACACTGAGAGGTACATGTAATATTCTCCAGTAGGGTAAAAGCATCAATAGCTTACACAGTACCAATACCTCACATCCTCGTGGAAAAATAAGAATAATGAGATTTCAGGACATCCTAGACCTCTATTTCATAGATTTTTGTTTTCAATATTTTCTCCTTGAATATTTGTATGATTTGCTTAAGTCTTGCAAGAAACCATACCCGTAATAATGAGAGACAAATTAGGAAGGTTCCTCACGGTCCTTAATCTGTCAATAAGGTTACCACACCTTAGGTTTGTCTTTTTCTCTTTTAACTGCTTCAATGTAACCCAAAAATTTGTTTTATTTTTTCTTGAAGTGTTGATAATTTATGTTCTTGACTTATTTTATCAGTGGAATTAGAAATTTAATGTGTGTCAGCTCTTGGAGTGTACTGAGCCTTTTGCTAGTTGCTGACAGCAGTTTACTCGTAAAAATTCAAAGAAATATACTTGATATAACAGGTCTTAATAATGGGACCATGAAAATGGGACTACTCATTCATTAAAAAAAAAATGATGTGGATTAAATACAAAGCAAAAATAGGTTTTCCTATGGCCAAAAACAGGTTCTTGACTGTCATACATTAACGGATAAATTTAACAATTACATCCTTGCTCTCATCCTTGTCAGCTATAGAAACATTCCAAATTAAACAGTGTCAGCTACAGGTGTAACAGAACTAATCTCTAAATTTATAATTTTTTAAAATTTAGGTGGATATTTCATTTATTTTAAATGTTCTCATGGCAAGGTGAGAAGTATTTCCGTCAGATGAATCCAAGAAATATGTGTATATAGTAACATCAATACGTGTTCACTACATTATCACTGGTTGCTAAAGACTGCAAAGTTAATTGTTCCAAAAAACAGCGGTAATATATGTCATATTTAAATTGGTTAGAAAAAACTTTATGAAGCCTATTAAGTGCAGAAAAATTAATAACCCAATGAATATAAAAGAAAAAGTCATGTCATGTCATGTCTTTGAACAACCATTTCCCTAACATTTCTCTTCTATATAAATTATGAAAACTGAAGTTAAATAAGATTAAATCAAAACCAACATATAATTCATTTTCAATTTTCAACAACATAATAATAATCAAGAAAATGGTGAATATAATGAACACTTATAATTAAAAAGTTTTAATTATTTAGGAATGTTGTTTATACAATTCTTAAAATATTTGATAAGGATAAGTTATATTTTGGAATTAGTTATGGTAGACTAATTTTCAATACCACAATTAGAACCTACTTAGAAAAAAAAATGTTAATAAGATATTTAAGAGGGATTGAGCTCCACCATAAATTAAAATATAGAATAGGGAATTTTAAACAAACAAATTTTAGCACACTGCAGGAAATAAATTACTTTATTACATTTAGTATAAGAAAATTTACCGATTGTAAAAACTTGCCTGACAAGAAAAAGGTCTTTCACCGGAATGAAATTTTAAATGCGTACTCAAATGCCTCTTCTGAGAAAACGTTTGTCCACATTCACGACATTCAAATGGTCTGTCTCTGGTATGCATTTTTTCATGACTCACCTGCATTAAAAAAAAAAAATTGTTCTTTCAATAGTTTAATCAAGATGACAAAATTAGAAATAAAACAAACTTACGAGGTGATGCTTTAAGGTAAATGACTTGTTACATTCATTGCACTTATAGGGTCGTTCAGCACTATGCAGAAGTAGATGAGTACTAAGACAATGTTTTAATGCAAATGTCTTTCCACACTCTGGGCAAACATGAGGACGTTCTCCAGTGTGCACACGGATATGAGTAGCAAGGTGATGTTTCAATAAAAAAGACTTTCCACATTCTTCACACGTATGAGGTCGTTGTTTGTACTGAACTGGCAATTTATTGGGAAGAACTTGCTCACCAGTTTGTGATGATACATTTTGCTGACTACCTCCGCTGGTAGAAGCAGGCTTACGTTGAAAGAAATCAGCTTCGTTCGAAAGAGATGGTATGTGTGGAGCTAAAAAATGTCTTGGTTCATCATTCATAAAGAACATACTTCGAAACATCAAATTATTATTCATACTGTCAGGCTCATCTAACTTATCTGATGTTTCAGTTTTAAGCTTTGAGCCTTTTGTCACTACGCTGGTCTGTGCAGGAGGTTTATAAACAGAATTATAATATGGCATGGGTTCTTCATTGGATTCCAGGATGATTCTCTCTGAAAGATGATCAGAAACTGCTTTAATCGGATCCAAAATCCGTTCAGTGTTACATCTGCAACAAATAAACAACGATATTAAACTGATAATGACAGGAGATAGTAGAGTGAAGTATATCTAGTCAAGCAATAATACTCTCTTACCTTAACATGTGTTTTAAGTAGACTTTCTTCTTCCAGCCCAAGTTCTACTAATTTTTATCTTTTTTTTTTAATTAGAAGTAACTCTAATCATGATTCGTTCATTCTCTGTAATCTCAATAAATAAGGTTCTCTTTGATTGTTTACAATTTATTGACCATCCTACAGTTTACAATTCTGCAGTGTTGACATAGCCACACAAAAAAAATTAATTTTTTTTCATGTAAATTTTAAAAAATTGACTTCTTGTTCATGAAATAATTTTAAAATATTTAGACCAATGTCTAAAAGTCAATTTCTAACATATTGCATAGTATTAAAAAATTCAGCATACAAGATTGAGAAGAGAATAGGTTAAAACCTAAATAAAGAATTGTATTAAGAATATGTTAGAATTACGCTGCAATATAAGTTGGAAGCCCCTTAAATAGAAATATAAGATATTACTTATTTAAGGAGGAAATATTTTAAGAGCAGAACTCTGTGTAAGAAAATGAGAAAGTTACGCAGGGATTAAAGAGTTGACAAAGCCGGTATGACTAAGATTATCAAAATGGGTAATAAAAATACTTATTTTTAAGGTCTAATTACTTGTTAAAACTGAGTATGAAATAGAATAAACTTTATTTGTTGTTGTTTATAAGTTTAAAACCCCCAGGTCATCAACGCCTACGGTTTATTAAAACAACAAATTTGTAAAGAAATTAGATTATAATACAATAAAGTCGTAGAAGGTAGATATGAAAAAATATTCTGCCATTTTACAGCTACCTTGTGTGAAAATATTTGTAGGTAGAGCGCTGGTTTCCAACGCTAAACGAGCCCGATTCAAATCCTACCTTAAGAAACTTTTTCTAAGAGATAATTTTAGTCAGCTTATTCCAAAATGAAAATTTGAGGGTTTGAAAAATACTTCCAATGTCCACTAAAACCTAAAATAAGTATTTGGCATGATGTATACGATTGATGCACAATGTGAAGCTGCCATTTTTGTAACTAGTTGAAAATTCCTTATATTAACAGTCCATAATAATTCTTCTAACCTCTAAAAACATTCACTTACTCAGCAATTGATAGATGAACATGATTTAATCACGAAAGATACCACACGTGTATACACAAAAATATCTTTACCTAAAAACAACATTAAAGGAAAACTGAAATTTTAGTTTACCAGTTTTTTTTTTAATAATTGGAAGCAAAAGTGTATAAAAAACAAGGCTTCGTCAAGAACAAATATCTCCAGTATTTCTATTTACAAATAATATTCCAGGTAGAATATGCGGGCAGGTGGACGTTTATTTATAACGTGTCCCTTTAGAGTGCCCTATTTAGGTACGAGCGAATTAATAACACAGATACAAATAAAAAGGAAAAAGTCGATTTTAAGATAATTACAAACTTTTTTTTATTATTTATTTAAAACCCTACCGTGCCTAGTAGGCAATACGGATGTCTGCTATAGTAAGATGTTAGGCAGGTCAGCTTAACATCTCACTGCTGCAAATAAATCTTGTTCTTCTGTTCTTTCTTCATTTTTTTCTCTTTCTTCATGGTTGCTTTTCTCATCCGTTTCACGCCAATGGTAAAGTACCTCTTCCTCCTCTTCTTAAATTGAAATGGGCCGGCCCCACCGCGGCTTTCCACCCGTACACAAAATCTCGGTAGTACGGGTAGTTTTCCACAGTGACTAACTGAGGAAAATCGTTTTCTGTGAGAATGTAGAGACCGGTTTCTCTCTGTAACTTAGCCCTTAGTTCTTCAAAGGCGGTGTAGTCCACTATGATGTGCTCAGCAGTCTCCGGAACACCGCAGCTAGGGCATAGGGGGTCGATGTACAACCAATGGCTATGAAGCTTTGCTCGAAAGCCCCTATGGCCTGTGAGAAATTGCGAGAGCCAATAGTCCGGAACGATCCACTTTGCTTCAAAACGTGACCGGACGGTGGGAAAGTACTTCCTCAAGGTAGATCCTTTGGGGGTTATCACCCACCGCCGGTTCCATTCCTCCATTGTATCGTCCCGTATAATGTTTTTCCATTTGCAAGGATTCTCGTCAATTCTCACCTTAAGGTTTTCCGGCAGACCTGCTGAGCCGTTTTTCTTAAACATGTGTTTCATCATGTCTTCACGCAGGAGAAGGTCGAGAGGTACCCCTCCTGCTAATACCTGCACTGCCTCATGGGATACGCTCCGATACGCCCTGGTGACCCGCAGCAATGACGTTCGCTGTATTGTCGCCAATTTACTCTTCTGTCGGTGCGAGAGGTTCTGGTTCCAGGCGGGAGACGCATACATCAAGATACCTATAATAACTCCCTTATAAATTGTTAAGGTTGCTGAGTATCTGAGACCGCAGAAAGCGCCCCCAATCCGACTGAGACCGTTTAAAGACAGGGCCACCCTGTTTCTAAGATAGTCCAAGTGAGGGGTAACGTTAAATATTTTCCCAAATCTTACGCCTAGATAAGTGACCACCTCACTTGGACGTATTCTCGAGCATTGAATCGTAATATTAATAGGGTGTGCCCTATCAGTTTTCTCTTTCATGACAATTGTACGAGTCGTTGAAGCGGCCATTGATAACTTTTTCCTCTCGCACCATTCTCCGACCAAGTTGGCGCATTGTTCCGCTTCTTGTCTTAAGCCGGCTCTGCTACTAGAGGCCACCACTACGGCCAAATCGTCAACGTATCCAGTGGCAGGGAACCGCTGTTCTTCTAACACTCCCAACAACTCATCAAGAACGAGCTTCCATGAAGCTGGACCAAGTAATGATCCTTGGGGACATCCCCTCTCTATGAAGGCTTCAGTCTCATAAGAACTACCTTTACACGTCTATCCTGTAAATAGCTTCTTATCAAGGCATATAAGTTACTGGGAGCATCATATTTCTGTAGCTGCTGGAGCACAAGAGGCCAACAAACGCTGTCGAAGGCGGAGGATATGTCAAATAGCATCAACATGACATACCGCTCCGTCCTTAGTTCAACGTCTTCACGTACTCTCAGCAGGGAATCAGCGGTTCCGTTCCCCCTTAGTGGAGCCGTATTGTCGTGGATGACTTGCTCTGGCAAGAACTGGTACTAGACTGGTCATGATAAGGTTCTCCAGGACCTTTCTCGTCACAGGGAGGAGACATATGGGTCTATAGGACTTGGGGAGCTGTTTATCCCTACTCCCTACCTTGTAGAGGAGTCTCAAATTAGCGATTTTCCAGGTTTTGGGGAAGTATCCCCTCTCCAGACAATCATTATATATTCCCAAAAGTCTCTCATCAATGTAGGGAATACTATTCCTTAGGATCGCCTCATCTATAGCATCGAGTCCTGGAGCACGACCGATTTTCTGCTTATCCAAGGCAATACGGAGATCATATATGTCCCATCGTTGGCACAATGATAATTCCAAACTTCTACTTCTGAAAATTGGTAGCAGAAGTCTGTAGGATAGGTCGTGCCATCAACAACCCCGCATGCTTAACCATGATGAGGTGTTACCCGCTTTAATATCATTGAATTTAGGGTCATCGGTTGAACCCGGCTTGGGCAAGTTGAACTTTATTTCGCGGTGGACCCACGGAATGATCCTCGACATTCTCACTCTATTTAGAATAGGTTCGGTTGGATCTCTAGAACAATTTTTCCGTTTGCCAGAGATGGTGAGGTAGGTAACCGAAAAAGAAAAAAATGCATGCTTATATAAAGTTATTTTATTGCTAATAAAGATAACAATGAAGATCGAAATTGTCGAAATATCATGTGAAGTGCTGAAGATGATGGTATTGTCGAGATATAAGTCATCCAAAGGAACGAATTATCGGCCGCATGTTACAAACATTTAAATAGAATACCAAATTAACACATTAGTGATCAAATCGAATGAAGGAGATGGTGATATAAGTCCAGTTTAAGTTTAGACAAAGACCTGATTATAATGTGTTGCTTGGGATTCCCAAGTTGGAAATTGTTTTTTTTTTTTCATGGAAGGAGTGGCTGGGATGTAGATTGTTGATTCTTATGTATTCATTGAGTATTCCAGATAATTTTATTTTATTAGTTTATTTTTTTAATGGTTTCCTAATCACCTTCAGTAGAAGGGCTTGTTGGAAGTCAATTGAGTAAGAGATTTTTACGAACTGCTTCCTGAATTCAGTTTAAAAAAAATTCGTGTAGTTTTGATGAATCCCTTCATAATACCTGCTTTAATATACTGAGGTTAAGAAACGATTATATTTCTGTCTATAAGTAATTTATCTAAAGTGTTTGAATATACAAGTTTAACATCGGATCTTGAAAACAAAATCGACCCATTTTGAGAGTGAAAAGCGAAAACTCAAACGTAGCTGGGTTTACCAATATTTCGTTTTTATCAGTTTATATCTTATTGGGGAGTGAGTTAAAAAAAAATATATTAAGGAGAAACAAAGTTATGATTTGTATTTCGCACCTTCAAAAACTCTTAAATACGAACTTTTACTTTTTCTTCAAAATCTTCTCCTATGCTCACAAAACCACAAAAAAAAAAGTATCATAACTTCAACATGACTCTATTTATTTACTTAGTAATTAACAGGGATTTAGGGGTTTATAAATTACACAAAATGGCACAAACCAGACCTCTGTCAACAAATTAGAACAATAGTCGTAAATAATCTAAAAGTTATTGATATGGTCTGGAGGAGCCATCCTGATCTGATCTCCCTCACTCCTCAAATTCTTACCGACATCTCACAATCTTTTCTAGAACAACTCACCTATCATACTTCCGTTAAAAATATTGGTGTTACCATTGATCAAACCCTCTCTTGGAAACCACACATCTCCCAAAGTTTCCGGCGTTCTATCTCTATATATCCTGAAACAGTTTAACCGTCTCCGCTATCTCCTTCCATACAAATCCGGTCCGGGGGCTTTCGGGGGAGAGGGGGCTTTCGGGCTGAAGGCCCCCCCCCCCAAAATTGAAAAATATAACCATGTTTTATGGGGAAAAAAAATTAAAAAATACCTCTTAAAGTATTATTGTTCGTGTAATTACATTTAAAAGTACTTAAGGAATAACTTAAACACCATTTCATATAGGTAGTTAGTTTCTTTCTTTTTTTCCAAAGTAATTATCGTTATTTTGATGAAAAAAAAGGTTTCGGGCTGAAGCCCCCCCAAAATTAAATCCTGGATCCGCTAGTGCCCAGTATTACACCCAGTTGAGTTCCCTTTCTATACCAAGCTATCAGAACTCAGCGAACTTCCTATATTTTTCACAGCCTACAATTAACATATTCCATTCAATCCCGTCCCAATAGATCCCGTACTTCTGACCTCTATCAACCTCCTCACCGAACTGCTCCGTTTGACAAATCCTTTATAATTCAAGCCGGCTCCTTCTGGAATACCATCCCTTCAGATATCCGACATGCGCAATCAGTTTCCTCATTTAAATCTCTCCTTTTTAAAGACTTACTCCTTTAACAACCCGATTGTACATTAGAGAACTTTTTAAGTATCCCCAGAAATTATTTTGTTTACTTATGTTATGTTATTTTTATATATATCTGTATGTTGTTGCTATGGTTTTTTCTTCTTCCAATATTTTAAGTTCAATGAGATTTGTTAATATTTAATTTAATGTATGACCACACAGGCATTTTTTCTGTATCTATAATTTTTCCAAAAGGGACAACAGTCCTAGGATAATAAAAACAAATATCTTCATTTCATCAGTCATAGAGATTTTCGTCAATGATTTTATTCAATAAACTTAGTTTTATAATATAATATTTAATTTAAAATATCTCCAAATTAAATATTAATTTTTGAAGAATTATGTTCCATATATATTAACAACGAAATTTATTCCATAACCCCGGATAGGAGCGTAGTTAAGAATAACATGGCTATAGTCAACACCTCCACCAAGAATGGTAACAGTCCCTCCACATCCGTTATTTATCAGGTCCTGTACCTCTATGAGCTTGATGATGCCAGTGGGCAATTTTCCTTCTCCTGGATAGTTCTTTACTATTGGATTTCCTCCCGAGACCTGTGTGGATTTGAAATTTACCCGATCCATAAAAAGCAACCTTAAAAAAAAAATAATAATAATAAAAATACCATGTTACCAAAATATTAGATAATTTGAAATAATTCTATTATTAAAAAAGAGATAAAATTAATCCATGCATGGTTTTATTTTTTTCTAATTTCAGAAAGTCGAGTTTTAAGTAGGTTATTAATGACTGAATGCAGTAAACACTAGTGTGGCGGGGGAGATCCGGAAAAGAGAGAGTTACCCTGATGCACACAAAATAAAGAAAATTCAAGTAAAAATACATTTATTTTATAAAATTATCAATACCTGATTTTAATAAGAATCTCTTTATTTTAATGCAGAATATAAACAATCTATTTTGATGAGCGCATCACAACTTATACTTTCCGCACTATCTTGAGTAAAAATATTTTCATATTTTAGGTATTTTCATATGCAGAATAAATTAAATAAATTTGGTATTGATAAAATACTAAATGTCATTAATTTGTGGTTGTTAATCATACATGAATATATTTACTCAATGAAATAAAAAGTTATACAAAAAAACTTCATGATGAATGACTCCTTAGTGAACGAATAACCTTGTAATTTTTTTTTTTTTTGTCTATATCCTTTGTACTTGTAACTATTTGTTCAACCGTTTTATTCACTAGCGGATTATTAGAACCATAATCTGTATACAAATAATTTGCAATCTGAAATCGGAAAACTAAAAATCATACTTACATAGTTATACGTAAAATGTTATTTTAAATTAAATTAATTTATTGCTTGTTAATAATTTAATAAATTTTATACTTTCAAATATTTGAAGTGGCGTACAAAAAAAAAAAAATATATATAAAATAAACAACCTAGGTTTACTACAAAATCATATTTTATCATATTTTATAATTGTTTATCAAAATGAGAAGTAATCAAAATTAATTTAAAATAAAAGTCCTCAGAAAATTGTAATAAATGAAATTTTTAATAAATAATTTCTTATTCTCTTTATAATAATCCTTCATTTCGTAATTTTAAATAAAGTTATAGATTGTAGTTTACATATTTAATACTTTCAAGACCCTGTTTTTTCCGCATTCGGAAATTATAAGAAGTATCCTTTTTCATCATTTAAGGGATAAAAATACAATATTGATGAACAAAATAGATTCTAATATGAGTTTACAATGCTAAAATGCTTAAAGATACTTTAAGCAAGAAATTCATCGAAATTAGCCTGTTTTGTCTTTTGTAGTACTAGATTGGTAAAAAATAGCCCAATGAATGTCACGTACCTAATAATCCAGTAAAATTGACCCCAACATTAAAACAACTTATATGAAACTTGTCGGTAATTTTTCATAAGCCACCCCATAATAACTGGTAAAAAGTTCCAAAGAATCCCTCGTCAGGTTTCGATGGGGAGAGGGGAGGAAGTACAGAAAACTGGTATTTTTTTTTAGTTTTAGAGAATATCTCAAAAACTATGAGTTTTTTTGCAAAGATTGACCAGTACAATATTGAAGTAATTTAAAATCTTTATAAAAATGATCCTGTAAAGTTTTTTGATAAAATCAATGGTTACGCAGATATTTATGAGATTATGCATTTACACTTCAAGCAAAAATTGCTCCAAAGGACGAAATTGATGTTGTACATAGTCACCATCACACGTATAGTCTTACTACACGTTCTTAATTACTTCACGTTCATAGTCACCATCACACAGTCACATAGTTGTTCAGTTCATAGTTCACGATACCTTTTTGAAGTTTAATTTGTTTTTTAAACGCTTTCGATCGTTCAAATTATTATTCAAAATTTCTCTCTTTTAATGATTCTTAAAAGTCTATATTCGTTATTTAAATATAGTTAGTTAAACAAATTTGAAAAATCGAAAACGTTAAAAAATTAATTAAACTTCAAAAAGGTATCGTCTGCAATGAACATCAATTTCGTGTTTTGGAGTAATTTTTGCTTAAAGTGAAATGCTATAAATATAATCTCATAAATATCTCCGTAATCATTGATTTTATCAAAAAAGATTTTAAATTACTTCAATTTGTACTAGTAAATTTTTGCAAAAAAAACTCATAGTTTTTGATATATTCTCAAAAAACTAAAAAAAAAATTGTTTTCTTTCCTTTCTTCTCTCTCCCCATCGAAATCTGACGAGGAATTCTTTGGAAATTTTTACCAGTTATTATGGGGTGGCTAATGAACAACTTCTGAAAAGTTTCATCTCTATTTTTTTAATGTTGGAGGAAGGCTATTTTTTCTCTAATTTTACTGGGCTATAAAGTCTGAAGGTTAAGAAAATTGTTAAATTTTTTCTTTAAAATCCGCATAGCTATGTTTCTAGAATTTTAAATTAATCGGATAATTTGCAAACGTTTCATACTAGTGCTCAACTTAAATTGAAGCGGACTGACATTTTGTCAATTAATTCTGAAGAATAACTAACAGCGAAGATTAAAATTATAATCCTGATCACCAAACCGAATAATTATTATCCATATAAGTGAGCTTAGGTATTATAAATATAACTGATGTTTTCAGAATATAATAATTATTTAACACACCGCTAATTTTAAATGTCTGATCCTAACAAATCTCGTTCTAATTATCGCTATTTTAATTTCTGGTATAATAAAGTAAATAAACTATACAGTGTTACTGAACTAAAACATCTATGGTTATTGATAGAACATTTAAAAATCGTTCACTGCTCAAATAATTAGAGAATGCATCCAGTTCAAATGAGATAACAATTAGCATATTTTAATTTAAATTAATAGAAACAATAGGATACCAACTTATATTGAGATGTATTATTACCAACCACGAAATTATGATTTTTACCATGACACCTAGAACCAAAAATAAATCCAGTATGAGAAGAATGGGCTTGTAGAATAAGCACCATAGAAGCTGCTAAAAGAGTGTCTGGTTTCATGGCGGTAACCGGACTAATCAAATCTCTCTCACACTTGTAGTTGAATTCAATATAAAATGTTCAAGTTTCTCTCTGTCACGGACATGAAACACATTAGCCAGTGAGTCGTTAAAGTTGAATGGATATTATAGTGAGCTAATTATACCAATAACAGCTAATCTATTAGCTAATTAATTATATAAGGATAGTTGATTAACTAAGATATTGTCATTATTTTTTTCTCATGCGCGCTTCAGGTTTGAATTAAGAGAATGCTAACGTATGAATTAAAATATATTTTTAATGATGAGATGGTAGGGGGGGGGAAGGGGTGCGGTCAAATAAATACTAAATTATAGAAATAGTATTAATTAATTATTATACCGACGTTTCAGCACACCTTGCAGGTCTTAATCAGGGCTACAAAATATAAAAGGTACATGATGAAAATAAAATAGATGAATTATAAGTAGATATTTAATAAGAAAAAGTTGTCTGATAAAGAAATAATAAGATGATATCAGAGATATAGTTGGTGACAATGTAGTTAAAATATCGAGTATTATATATATATATATATATTATATATATATATATAGAAGATAGAAACAAAAACAGAAAATAAGTATGAATAAAAATAGAAAACAAAGGAGAATATAGTATATAAATTAAAAGTAAACAGATTGTGATAAAAGTTAAGAAATGAGTGTACAGCAAACTAATAAAGACTACTATAATTGGTAAATGGTTGACTGTCGTGGATAATGAAGAGAAGAATAGTTGGGGAGGTCAGTCAAAAAAAGAAGGCAAAAATAAATGATAATATTTATTTTTACATATGCCGACGTTTCGACCTGAAGTTGAGGCCATCCATCACCTGATCAGTGATGGTAACAAACTGTTTACTTTTAATTTATATACTATATTCCTTTGTTTTATATTTTTATTCATACTTATTTTCTATTTCTGTTTGTATCATCCATATATATATATATATATATATATATATATAACACTCGATATTTTTACTACATTGTCACCCACTATATCTCTGATATCATCTTATTATTTCTTTATCAGACAACTTTTTCTTATTTAATACCTAATTATTATTCATTTATTTTATTTTCACCATGTACCTTTCATATTTTGTATCTTTTGTAGCCCTGATGAACACCTGCAAGGTGGGTCGAAACGTCGGCATAACAATTAAATAATACTATTTCTCTATAATTTAGTATTTATTTGACCGCACCCCCCGATCAACTCCTTATCCTAAATATATTTTAATGCCTATGAATAAGTAGAGTCAATCTAGTAATAAAAAGTTTAAATATTTATTTATCTTCTTCATTCCTTTCCTCTCTGAAATACAGATTATTGATGGAATTAGCGCGATTCTTCTTATTCTACAACTTATTCTCTGGTTCTTCGGTCTTCTTCATTGGTGGAATGATCAGTCCAAACTAATGCCTTCCACTGGTACACGAATGATTCGTAGTACGTGATGATGTAGAGTCCGGTTTCCCTTACTAGTTTTACTTTGATTGCTTCAAAAACGGTGCAATATGCTCAGGAGTTTCCGGCACACCACAACAGGGACATAGAGGGTTAATTTCTTTCTTAAAGCCAAGAAGCTGCGAAAACCCCCATGCCCTGTCAGAAATTGTGACACCCAATAACCAGAGAGGATCCATTTCGCTTCCAACCTTGAGTAGACGGCAGGAAAGTATTTTCTCAAGGTAGTGCCTTTATTAGCAGTTACCCACCGCCGATTCCATTGCTCAATGGTATCCTACCGTATTTTTCTTATCCATTTAGATGGACCTGTTCTATCTTTTCTTTGAGATTTTCCGGTAGACTTGCTGATCCTTCTTCCTTAAGAATATACTTAATCTTATCCTCTTCCAGAAAATGGTCGAGAGGCACCCGTCCTGCTAAAACCAGCACCGCTTCAGGAGCAACATTTCTGTAGGATTTTCTAAGAGAATACTGGACTAATTATTTTGAGATTTGGCCATCAATGCCAGAGGTCACCCAAAGCTGATCCTCGAAACCCAAGATTATAGTCCGAGAATTCCTTGCGAAAAAAATTGGCATTATCTGATGAAAATTTTGAAAGGATGTTTTGAATGTTCATAACATTTATCTTTAAAAAATTACTCTGCCAGTCGGATCATGAGACCAGAAAAAAAAACCCAAAAAAACCCCAGATTTTGTTTGTATATTCACCTATGATTCCTAAACGGTGCAGTGGAACGAATAACGTACTCCTTGAGAAATTAAAGGACGTTAATTTGTGTGTCGAACGAGTACCTAAACATAATAATTAAAGTAGTATGTTCGATAACCACGCTGAACGAACGCTGATTTTTAGAAACTTTGTCAAAAACTGAGATAAATTACTATAAATGACTCTGCAACTTGGAAATGAGTTTCCTAAGAGAAAGAACTAATAGAAACAAAGTTGTATATAATCAAACACTGCGTCCACTGAGTATCAACGGTCACGGGCGGATCTACGGGGGGGGGGGCTTTCGGGCTGAAGCCCCCCCAAAATGGAAAAATATAACCATGTTTTATAGGAAAATATTTAAAAATACCTCTTAAAGTATTATTGTTCGTGTAATTACATTTAAAAGTACTTAAGAAATAACTTAAACACCATTTCATATA